AAAGGAAAAAAAACTATCTTCTGGTCTCAGATACACTCGTACTTTGTACACACACATTTATAGAAAGATACAGACAAATATTGAGATGATTCTTGATATAATACGCAAAGTGAAAGAAAAAAACAAACTAAAAGCGAAAAAGAAACTCCACTGTTGTTGGAAGATGAAAAAGAACCAAAGATTCTTAGATATTTTACGACCACTATGCTATTATAGTGACTTACCTCCCAAAAATAAAAAATAAACTAAAGTGTAACGTTTTCTATGGTTTTGAAAGTTAATAACTCACGAGATCGTGACACGTATCAAATATTTCGATCTCGTATCAAATAAATTTTCTTTTTTAATAAAAAAGATAATAAAATAATTATAAGAGAATTATAAATGTAAACAGTTTTAAAATATAAAAAGTTGATTATAAAAAAATTGTACATATATTTCCATAAAAGATTTTGCAATCTAGCAACCAAAATTTTTGTTTTTAACAATTTTTATTATAACGAAATTATAAATTTAAACAGTTAGATCATAGTAAGAAAACGGGAAAAATGTCAAAAAAATCATGGACTTTCAAATTTGGGACGATTTAATCTTGGACTACGATGAAGACATTTAAATCATAAAGTTTTTGTTGACTTTACAATTAATTAGCGAAGTTTGTTTGACTCGCCATTTTAGACACATCGATTTCATTTTCTAACCCTAGAATCCCAATCTCTCTCTCTCGCTTCCCTCTGTTAAAATTCCGACTGATGATGGCTAAAACTCATGGGGGGAAGAGAAGAATTCCGGTTCGGCGGTCACGGCGACTGATTCAAGCAGCAGCCGCGGAAAATGCCGGACCAAATAATTGATGTTTACTTTTTTATAGAAATTCAGCAAACAGAAAAAAAAAAACTGTAGAATTTAAATGGTCATAACATACTAAATAAACATAAATATGCATAGAAATCTGAGAAGATCTTATAAAATGGAACAAAGAAAAAATGATAAAACATCCTATAATTTGGGACAGAGGGAATATACAAGAAAAAAAATTTTAAAATAGAAAAATGATTAAGGAAATTATACAATAAGTTGTTATTCCTATAAACAAAATTGTAAATAATCACTTTTATATAAACAATAAATTGTCTCATATTTTTTCACCAAGCAAACTAATTTTTTCACACACCACCGCTGTTTTAACTTCATTCTATTGGTAAACCTTTTTTTTTGTTATAAAGTATTTTTAGGATAATATAAGTAACAAACATTTGACTCAAAAAAAATTAAAGAAATAGCCATGAGTTAAAAAGTTCTGGAAACTAATTTTTTTCCAGATATGTTAAAATTCAAAATGGCTATCAAATAAAAGACAAACACAAAACTGTGTATTCTAATTTGGTGAACAAAAACATGAAATAAATACTAATAAGACAAAACAAATATGAGAAAAAAAAATCAAAATTAGAATTCTGACGATGAAATAGAGGCATCCAACAATGTCATTTAATAAAATAGTATGATGGTGGTGGTTGATGGTTACAGAGGTGGTGATTGACTGATTTTAAAAAATAATATGATCATGTAAAAATTACATGCATTTATCATTTGCTGTAAATATATCATGTCAATTATAATAAATACTATAAATCACGATGGTTTTCTAAAAATATCATGTGATATTCAGATCCAAAGAATATATGGCAATGGTGGCAAATTAAGAATTATGAACGGCGATGGGCATAGACTAGAATTGTTGTCGGAGAGGCTTAGCCTGATATCGAAGAAGAAGAAGAAAGTGGAGTAATAAGAAAAGTTGGGGAAAGAGAAGAAGAAGCGATAACAGTAGTGTTGGTGTTGATGACGGTGGTTAAAGTTAGACAGTGGTGGCGGCGATAAATGTTGATGAAGGTGGTGGATCAATATTAGCGTGATTCGGTATTGGTGGTGGTGGAAATTGTGATAGTAGTGAGATTTATTTGTTGTGGTGGGTCAGAGTAATGAGACTCGGTGGTGATGTTCGAAGAAAGGAAGAAATGGAGATAGGGGAAAAGAGGGAGATAAGGAGAAAGAAAGAGGAGTTCAAACAAAAATAAGAAAAATCTAATTAGAGAAATAGAGAGATTTGAGAATTTCTCACCGACGAACGGAAGGAATAAAGAGAAGACGAAGAAATGGATAATATAAGTTAAAAATTAACAATGCCACATAATTACATGATTTCATCTTTTCTTATTGTCACAGTTTTTTTTCATCTTGCGCACATTGAAATTATAAGATGTAATACATTCTTCCGATAGATGTAAATAACTTATTAAAGTTCAATAATACAACATATAAACATTTATGACTTCATAACTTATAATCAGCAAAAAAAAATATTATTTTAGAAATAGACCAATATTTATATTAGATGATTTAATAATTAGTATAACATAACTACAAATAGTGTTTTATAAATCTATATTTAAATAATAATCAAAATGTTGCATTATCTAAAATCTATATGTTTAGATAATTTTAGTTATGCTTAAATATATAAAATTAAAAGTTAAAAATGATAATTTCGACCGGAAATCCGTACAACGCACGGGTCCATATCTAGTATATATACTAGTATTTTTGCAACACTTTGGTGACGGGTGGGTAAAAATGCTTCCGGGTATATCGGATACCCGACCCGTTTTTAAAATTCCTTCACACAAAATTTGTCGGGTCGGGTTATATTTAACCCAACTCATACACCGGATATTCCATATTTAATAATTTAGATATTTAGAAGATTTGATTAAGATTTATAATTATGATTCTCCTATCATCTTTGTTTGATTTGTTTTTAACTGTTTTGAATCCTCATATAATACATAAAGTAAAAAAAAATCAAGTTTTTTTCTGCATATACTGTGATTCGAAATTTTAAAAACGGAAATATATTATCCAATTGACGAAAATGTGTGTTCAACGTTCTACATCGATTAAAATATTTAGACAGTGATTCAGAATCATATCATAAATAAGAACATTAATAAAATAAATGAGTTTTTTTGCCGGACGGGTTTGGCGGGACGGGTTTTTGAATCAACAATAATAAAAAGATTAAAATATCATTAATCCGCCGCTTCAATACGGATTAAATCCTTTTTTAATACCACAAATATTAGACATATTAAATCAGTCTCATTAGAAAATATTGTATAAAACCAAAATTTGTCTCATGGTATAATGTCTCGTAGTCTTAGAGGATGATATGATTTGTAAACTTTTATATATAATAAATAATCATTAAATTTTAAAATAAAAATAAATCACGGGACGGGTTAAGAAATTACGGAACAAGTTATATTTCGGAAAGGATTTATATGGCGGACAAATTTGAATCAATATTTATACACCGCTTTAATACGGGTTAAATCCTCCGTTTATTAATAATTGTCTCGTGGACTCGTGGTATATCGTTACTTAATAACAATTATAAACTATAATATAAATAAATATGTTATAAGGAGATACAATTTACAAAATATTTTTATACTAACTTTAAAATTAAATCATCCCGCGGTATACCGCGGGTTAAAATCTAGTGTCGTGAGTATTGAGACTAAGCTCTACATGTATTTTCTTTATTTATTTTCTTCCATTTCTGTTGCATGATTTTCTAAGGGAAACAACGATATAGCTTCTTAGTCTTCGAGTTGTTTATGTGTTCTTGGCCTCGGATTTACTTGGTTCGACAATGTTGGCGTTACCAAAGATTGGTTTCAGTCTATAGAGAACAAGAACATAAGATCTATACGTCTTCATGAATGACAAGAAAGAAAAAGAACTTAAAGCTGTTTAGAGATATATATATCTTTCTTTGTTGTCACACTTTAATTTTAGTCTTCCACTTACATTAAGTTCTTCGTACTCGATCCCACGAAGGAAAAAAAAGTGAGAGATTGATTGAATTATTTGAAAGAATTTTAGACACAATTTATGCGAGTGGAAAGGTTTCTTGGGTAGTAAGTTTTTGATAAGGAATCTCATGACACGAATAAAAAGAAAGAAAAAAAGTTCGTTTCTTTTGTTGACCACATTTCGAAAGGGTATCTCGTACGTAAGATTGTTTCTTTGTCTATATATCTGTGTCAAAGAAAGATCAATGAGCATGGAGAGGGAATGATAGGTTTTGGTTACGTAGTAATATATATCTGAAAGTCGATTCGAGTTCTTGACCAATCTTATAAATTAAAAAAAAAATGTTTTATATTTGTCTGTTGTAGAACATTCAAAGTGAATGCAGACACAACACAATGGTACCAGCGTTTAAAGTTTATGTTATAATTTCCATGTTAACTAACGTTTAAGATTTTTCTAAAAAAGTAATTTAATTTTTATAAAATCTTTCCAATGAATTTTAAGTTATGTTGTATCATCCAGAAAATATGGAATCGTCACAATTTGATTATTAGCCCCAAGAAAATAAAAATCTGAACGACAAAAATCTTTTCATAAAGTTGAAAATATATTCTTATGTCGATGCACAACCATAGATTAGATACTGTTCTTGGTGGGTCTTGAGATTAACAGTTACAGATAAGGTTGTCCTTTGTCTTTGCCTAAAATAATCAAATTTAGAAAGTTTCACATAAGAAATCATCATGAATCCACAAACGATCATGTGTTATTTTTCTTTTGTCCAAAAGATGATAACATTTATAAGTGATGTCACCATACATATAAATATATGCTAACATATAAGTGTATGCATGTGTTGGTTTGTAGTTGGAAATTGTTGTAATAAGAAACAAAACCCACACCACCTTACTGTGTCCCCATCACTAACATGACTCATGATTTGACCAACACCACTTATATTTGTTCTTCATATTAACACTAATTAATCTTCTTTAGTTTAGAAATTTACTTCAATCTAAAAACGTCGTCGTAAAGGGCCGTAATCAAAACCCTGAAACATCTCTAGACATACAAAAGTTACATACTAGACCGACTCAAAAATTCCATAAACGAATCGGTTAAAAATGCTCTATTCAATGGGTATTATATCGTCCCTGAAGCAAGAGAAAGGGCTTTGGATTTGCATATCACTGATCACTTGCTTAAGCTCAGATGTTTCTTCTTTAAGCTGAGCATTCTCTTGAAGAACTTTTTCGTGAGACTCAGAGAGATTTTTAAGCTTATCTAGCAACTGATGATTCTCGATCCTTAACCACATAACTTGTGACCAAAGCTCGTCAAGGTGTCTTTGCTTCCTCATACGCGATCTCCTTGCGGATTCTCTGTTTGAAATCATCCTTCTCTGCTTCCGCTCGTTGATTATATTGTTGTCCATCTGCTGCTCTTCTGCTTCGTCTGATGTTGAGTTGTTGCTGCTTAGGCTCATGGATTGTGGATTATATGTAGGGCTTTGGAATCCGTAAAGGGAGTACGGGTTTTGGCTGTTGGTTGGAAATGGCGTAGATATCGGGAAATTAGAAGGATATGGAGAGGAAATCGAGGAGTTTAGGTAGTTATGGAGGCTGAAAACGTCTGTTTGCGGCTGCATTTTGAAGTTGACTTGGGCAAAAAGTTAGGGTTTTTTTATTACTTGATGAAAGAAAATGTAGGTCAAGAAATTAAAAAAAGAAAAGAAAAAAAAAGGTTCTGTAAGTTCTGATGGAGTTTTTAGTGTGTGAAGCGAGAAGATGGATTTTATAGAGTGAGTGAGAGCAGAGGTTGGGGAATGGAGCCCACTTTCTGCAATTGGGTGAAGCAATACTAAAGTTTCTAACATGAGAATTTATGTACCTAGATCATGCACATTAATCTAAATATGAATATATACATATACTCATTTCTTATATCCATAATTGCCTAATTAAGGTAAAACATATCATATATTGATTTTCAACCAATTAATTAAAATATGTTACAAACTCGGGCTGGGGACTACAATTAGATGAATGTTTGTTGGATAATTATATGGTTTCTTGTTTATATTGTAATTAAATAGTGTCTATAGAAAGTTAATGAATATTCTTGACCAAACTGTTTTTTCTTTTGAGTCAAGAAAAACCTCCACACATGGGGAGAGGGACATGGGCGTAGAAACGGCAAAAAGCTTTTCATATTTTTTCTAGTTTTTTTACCAAACCAAATTATGAACCGATAATACCTTTTATTTATTGATACAATATAATGAGTTTAATTCTAGAATCTTAAACATTTGTTTTTAACAGATATCATAATACTTTTGATTACTGATTATTAGTTATTTGTATATAGCTAACTTTGGACGTGACAACACAACGTAGTTAATTTTAAAGAAAAAAAATTTGGATACAAACAATATTAGTCATACAGTAAAATCTCAGACGTTATATAATATACATATGTTAATATGTAGAAAAACATAAAATGTACTGAGGGAGCTCCCCTGAAGATGATGATGATATTGTCTAAAATAAATTGGCTATGTCGAAATATGCATAAATTTAAACACCCAGCTTATTAACTCACTTAAATTTGTTAATTAAGATCACTCCATATATATGTACTTGTGGCCTCGATTTATACACGACAGCTGCTTATAGATTTTAGGACCTTATATGATATCAATTTGTTAGTATGTTATTCGACCACTTACTCATCACATTGCACAAATGAAAGGAATCCGAGGCATCAGCCGCAATATTTGGCCTATCATGGACATATTTTATACTTTTATGTATGATATAGTATCATCAATCTTCTCCAATAAAATTTTTGTCTAGATAGAAATATGTATAAACTGGTGCATGGTGAGTAGTGTAGTGGATAATCATTTTTTTTTAATTGAATTGCTTTTTCTTATTACATAAGCGAGAAGAAGATATTGCATTATTTTTGTATTTTACATTTTTTCTTAAACGTATATATATATATATATAATGAAATATTAGAGGACCAAGGTGCTGATGTGAGGAGTCATATGTCTTTCAAATCCAATTGTCATTTTTTGCGTCAATAAAGAAACCTGTCTTTTCAACGCATTGTGAAAATTTTAAAACTAATCGTTTTTCTTTCAGTCAATAAAGAAATTGAACCAGATACATTTCTTTTGTAAAAGACAAAGCAAATACTTATTTATTTACAGACATTTTAGTTACATTAATTTTGATTATTATAAAATTGAATTTGGGTAATATTGTTCAGGAGTAGGATGGTATTATTTTCTATTGAACGATCAAGGGCTAACTATGAAGTCATGTAATCTAAACATGTAATCTTTGACGTATTTTCATCGTCTACAAAAGTAAAAAACACTCGCATGGATAAAATGCCTAATTTCAAAGTAGATATGTGCCATTATTTTAATCACAGACTGCTCAAAACTGATATATATATATATATATATATATATATATATATATATATATATATATATATATATTATTATGAGTGGCCAGTTTTTAGGACATAGATAATACTAGAGCGGATATGCTTGTACGGAATATATGTGTACATTTGCATTATATTATGTATTTAAATAATGTTTCAACAAATTGGTTTACTTAAGTTAGCTACTTTAAAGTTGTTAATTGACAAAAAAACAAAATTGTATAAGGGGAACATTACAAATTTATTGGTGTATTAGCTTTGTTAATGATAAAATAAAAATCGAGTAACTATATACAATAAATACAATATTGAATTTCACGGACAACAAAATCTGAAAAAATTCAAAAATCTTTATCCATTAAGAATCCGAATAAATTAAGAGAAATATATCTTACGAAGTAGACATGATTCTCTCAGGGTATAACTGTTACTAGTCAGGTTAGCTGAGTAACCGCGAGTGATCTATATTTAATTTAGCAAAAATGAAAGTCCCAAAGGTTGCTAGTGACTCTGCTAGCGAGTTTAGCAGACTTTCGTTAAGTACCATATATATGTAGAATATATCAATGATTTGCAGAGTCAGCCACAATATGGAAAGATTATGCAAAATAATATCAAGAGACTTTACCAAAATATTAGAAGACTTTGCCAAATACCAACATACTCGGCCTATAGCCTCAAACTCTATGAAATGTCCGCAAACTCAACCAAATCTCCGAAAACTCAAAAAAGATATATGCAAACTTTGCCAAATACCAACATACACGTATTTTATCTTCCAAATATCTCCATATCCTGCTAAACTGTAGTGAGTCTAGCTGACTTTTTCAATGTCTGCTAAATATATGTAGAGCCTTAAATCGTCTAAATTAGTATCTAGATGATAATTTTAAAAACAAAAATTGAAAAAGGAAGAAGATGATTTTTAAAAAGAAAGAAAGATGATTTCTTATATTTATATTTTAAAAATGGTATGTGATCAGTGAAATCACGTTTTTAAAATGTGAAAACATGATAGAAAAAAAAAAAACCCGCATATTATTCAATCATTATTATAAATTTTTGGATCTTAAAAAGAACAAAAATTCCTTAGATAAATGTGTTCTTTAAATATTTTAGAGTTGTATAGCTAACCCATTAATTAATCTACATGCATATGTAAAAACTTAAAAGCTAGATTTAAGACTATTGCCTAATAAAAGATGGGAAAATTAGAAATAAAGGATATCTACTTAAAAATTTGTCCATATATACATTTGTTGTGAGATTGTCAGTTTGGACGATTAGCCCCTACACCCTAATTTAAATGTTTTTTAAAAAAAGTAATCATAAAAACAGGTAGATATACAAGAGTATAGGTGATTTGAAGTGAAATTTTTTAGATTTGGTTTAAAAAAAGTTGATTTTTTGATAGATAAAGTTTCATCTAATTTTGGTAGAACACGTTTTCTAGAGTTCTGCGAAACTCAGAATGTGTATTCTACATTTTTGTACATGTTCTACATATTTCAGATTAGATTTCTGTTCTGAGAATTTTAGAAATCCGAAAATCATAAATCTAAAATATTTAGAACATGCATTCTACGTTTTTCTCTATGTTCTAAATATTTTAGAATAGACGTTCTAATAATTTTTACATCTTCTGCCATCGTTAGAAATTGTAATCTGAGTTTAGAATGTAAATTCTACGGTATTGCAGATTTCGATTTCTGTAATTTTTAGAATGCTCTAAATATAGAAAGTAAATCTTCAGAAAATGAAACAAAATATTTTTTTTAGATTATGAATTAAATGAATATTTATTGTTTAGATTACGATCTACAAGATGTAAAAGTTGTTGTCTACGGTTTTTAGAGTAAGATTAAAACCTAAAACGTTTTCTAAACCCTAAAAATCTACACGTCTTAATCCTACACGTCTTAGTCCACCACTTTCGTTTCTAAAAAGCTAAGAACACTTTTTCTTCAAATTTTTCCTTTTTTGATCAACGATTTCTCGATGCACATCTACAGAGAGAGTGGTGTGTGGAGATTGTATAACAAGAAGGAGTGAAGATTTATTATTGATGAAAAAAATTGTGGGAGATTGTTGAGTTTGGAAATGACTACAACTTTTGAAGAGTTACAGGCGATTGTTGCAGAAGACTACGGAATAGAACAGAGTACAATTGATGTGGAGCTAAGTTACTTACCCACGGATCTTAGCTTGGATTGTCCTCCTGTTGTAATGATGAATAACATACAGGTTAGTAATTTCCTTTCGTACTGTAAAAGGAAAAATACGATCAAGTTATGTGTGACGTTCAATGGTGGAGATAAAGATACAGGGAGTAAAGAAAAATTTGATCTGAATAAAGAACCCGACGCTGCAACTAATGGAGATGATGATGTTAATGTCGACGATATTTCGTCATCATGGGTTGTGAAAGAAACTAGAAAGAATGACGATAGTTTCAAAACTCCAAAAAATGCTATTGTTGGTCACGGACTCGGATCATCGTCACAGTATTCTTGTGTGAGCCAGGGTCAGTATTTTAGAAGCAAAGAATTGTTACAGTCAACCATGGAATTGTATGCGATGAAATATAATTGCGACTACAGGATTACAAAGTCTGATACAAAATTGTGGTGTATACGATGCATAGATGTTGGCTGCAAGTGGAGAATTCGAGCTGAGTGTTTAGAGCGGTCTTCGTATGTAAAAATCAACAAGTATGTGGGTAACCATACATGTGCTCCTTCCAAGAAAAGCAAATTCTGTCGAACACCTTCGGCAAAAACGATTGGACATATCATTAAGCAGAAGGAGTGGAGAACAAAAAATCATCTTGCTCGAGCTAAAAGGAGATATTAGAGACGAACTCAATAAACTTACTTTCAAAAAATGCTTAATTAATTAATTAATTAGCACGAGCTGAATTCAGTCGGCGTAAAGATGTGGACTCCGGATGTAAGTACAGTACTGCATCTATTTCCTGCAATACAATTATTTTTAAAAACAAGTTAGTATTTATAGAATTGAATACGTAATCAGTCATGAAAGTGACTAATTAGTTTGCTATGCAGATATTTTCAAGTTAAACTGAAAGTGCTCTCCTAAACTAAACTAAGAGAAATATCCAGAACTGATTTGTTAAGTTTCAGAACTTATTTCTCTTATAAATATATAACACATACAAATACATACACTAACCCGAATCGAAAGAACTTATAAAACTACATGCAATTAAAATTGAGACATGTATATCTCACTAAATGGAGACATCTACACGATTATACACAAAGGTGATTCAAAGAGCTAGAGGACTTAATAAATTAATTAGCAATTAAAATTTGGAGTTTTACAACAAACAAAAATTGAAATCTCTAAACGAGTAACACAAATTTCAAAGAACAGAACCAAAAATAAAGCAACATGTGAAGCCCGAAACAACAATTCTCTGAAACAATCTTCATAAACTCTGTTTAAATCAATGAATTCCAACACAAACACATATACATTAACATGAATCAAAGAGATAGAAGACTTAATCAATCTACATGCAATTGAAATATTTCCAATGGCGATATGTGGATGGCTTTAGCTAAAAAGATTTACAGAAGACAAACCCTATAACTAAAAAAAAAAAACAAGACACGTACTTGAGCTACTCACGACACACACACACACACACAAATAGTGGACTTAACAGATCAAAAAGAGAACAAAAAGATCA